TACCCTTGATGGCGTGAGAGCCCAGCTGGACAGCACTCAGGCTCGAGAGGGAGCTGTTGTCGCGTGAGTCGGCGGTGCCCCTCTTCTCTAGTACCAGGGAACATACCCCAAGAACATGCCCGTAGGCGTACGGGCGGCCGAGACGATGTAAACTGGGGGAAGGGACGACATGATGGGTATCTTGGGTATGCAGGAAAGCGGAGTGAAGGTGCAGAGAGCAGATATAAGGTGCCTCTGAGCAAATGGCCCGATCAACAAATATACCCCGATGGATCTTTTTGGAGTTTAGCCTTGCGCGACAACGGATGGCGCCTGCTGGCCCTGCAGGAGTCGCCTCGAAGCCCCATTGGTCAGGCACGACCTCCGCCCTCACCGCCTAGCGCTAGGCCGCGGAACCACGTCTGAACTTTTGCGACAGCTTCAAGCTCGACGCGCATCACCACCGCGCATATACCCACACCCACCGCCGCCATGGATGACCTATACGACGAGTGAGTACGCCCATTCTCCCCAAATATGTTACGCGACTGACTTTTGACAGGTTCGGAAATTTTATTGGCGAGGCCGAGTCCGACGACGATGTCCAGAGCACCGGCCAGGCAGCCGACGCCTATGTCCTCGACGATGAGGAGGAAGCCGAGACGAACGACCAGCAGCTTATGGAGGTGGACGAGGGGCCATCCAATGCCGTCATTCTCCACGAAGACAAGCAGTACTACCCTTCTGCGTCCGACGTATACGGCCCCGATGTCGAAGTATTGGTGCACGAGGAAGACACGCAGTCGCTGGCGCAGCCTATTATTGCGCCGGTAGTGCAGAAGAAGTTCACGATTCAAGAGACAGATCTGCCCCCGGTGCATCACTCGAGAGAGCTCTTGACGGATTTGATGAACTTCCCCGACCAGATACGCAATATCGCCATAGCTGGACATCTGCATCATGGAAAGACTGCCTTTATGGATATGCTGGTCATGGAAACACACGACATCCAAGATCGTCTGGACTACAAGAGGGGCAAGAAGCGGGAGGAGCAGCTGCGATACACCGACGTACACGTGCTCGAGCGCGAACGAGGCCTCTCCATCAAGGCTGCGCCTATGAGCCTCGTCCTCCAGAACACGAAACTGAAGTCGCATCTATTCAACATCCTTGATACCCCCGGACACGTAAACTTCGCCGATGAAGTCGCCGCCTCATTGCGCCTGGTCGACGGAGTGGTCTTGGTGGTGGATGTGGTTGAAGGCGTGCAAGTAAACACGGAGCAAATCATAAAGCACGCGGTGCTGGAGGATCTGCCCCTAACACTTGTGGTCAATAAGATAGACCGCTTGATTCTAGAGCTGAAGCTGCCGCCCAGCGACGCATACTTCAAGATTAAGCACGTAATCGAGGAGGTCAACACTATCATCGAGAACACCATCCCCGGCCGCGGCGAGAGCAGACGAGTAAGCCCTGAGAAAGGCAATGTCGCTTTCGCTTGCTCCAGCATGCGATGGTGCTTCACCATTCAGTCCTTCGCGAAGATGTACTCCGACTTTTACCCCGGTCCATCGAAACTCCCAGGTTTCGGCGTTCCGATGAAGGGTCTGGATATCGATAAGTTCGCCATGCGTCTTTGGGGCGACATCTTCTACAACCCTGGAAGCCGCAAGTTCAGTCGCAAGCGGCAGGAGGAGGGCTCACAACGGTCTTTCGTACACTGGATCTTGGAGCCTGTCTACAAGATCTACTCGCACACACTGAGCCAGAGCCCGGACGACCTCAAGGATACGCTCGACACTTTGGGCATCCGACTGAAGCCCTCCGAATACAAGACCGATGCAAAGGAGCTGATGCGCCTCGTGTGCCAACAGTACTTCGGCCCATCTCTCGGCTTCGTAGACATGATTACCCAACACGTTCCTTCGCCCGAAGAAGGTGCGCAGCGGCTGCTGCAAAGACACTACACCGGACCTCTGGATACGAAGACCGCCGAAGCCATGCAAAAGTGCGACCAGAACGGACCCCTAGTCATACACGTTACGAAGCTGTTCAATGCAACAGATGCCAAGTCGTTCACAGCACTGGGCCGAGTGATGAGCGGTACTGCAACTTCACCGCAGTCGGTGCGTGTTCTTGGTGAAGGCTACACGATCGAGGATGAGGAAGACATGGTCGTTGCGACAGTAACAGACACATGGATAGCGCAGTCACGATACAACATCCCCGTTAGCGGTGTTCCGGCAGGTAACTGGGTGCTGCTCGGCGGTGTCGACAATTCGATAGTCAAGACGGCGACGATTGTAGCTACAAAACTCCCCGAAGACGAAGACGCCTACATTTTCCGGCCCATCCGCCACTTCTTTGAATCCGTGTTCAAGGTCGCAGTCGAACCGATAAACCCCTCCGAACTACCGAAGATGCTTGACGGTCTGCGCAAGATCAACAAGTCATACCCGCTCATCACAACCAAGGTCGAGGAGTCAGGAGAGCACGTTGTTCTCGGCACGGGCGAATTATACATGGACTGTGTTCTGCACGATCTGCGACGGTTATACGCCGATATGGAGATCAAGGTGTCAGATCCCGTAACAAGATTCTGCGAGACGGTCGTTGAGATGTCCGCCATCAAGTGCTACGCGCTTACACCGAACAAGAAGAACAAGCTCACGATGATTGCTGAGCCGCTCGACCCAGGTATCGCCGAAGACATCGAGGCTGGCAAGGTCAACATCAAGGATCCCGTAAGAGTAGTTGGAAAGTTCTTTGAGGAGAACTACGGATACGACTTGCTCGCGTCGCGCAACATCTGGGCTTTCGGACCTGATGACATGGGCCCCAACATCCTACAAAACGACACACTTCCCTCGGAAGTCGACGGCAAGACTCTGCGAACGGTACGCGATACGCTTCGACAAGGTTTCAGCTGGGCTACCCGAGAAGGCCCGCTCTGCGAAGAGCCCATTCGCAACACAAAATTCCGAATTACCGATGTCGAACTTGCGCCAGAAGCTATCTTCCGCGGAGGTGGCCAGATTATTCCTACCAGTCGACGAGCGTGCTACTCGAGTTTCCTAATGGCCAGCCCAAGGCTGATGGAGCCGGTGTACTCGTGCAGCATGGTCGGCCCTGCAGACACCAAGAGCAGCTTGTACACAGTCCTCGCACGAAGGAGAGGACACGTTCTACAGGATGGACCCATTGCGGGCACACCGCTGTACAACGTGCGTGGTCTTATCCCGGTCATCGATTCTTTCGGTTTCGAGACCGATCTCAGGGTACGTACACCTCCTACAATCAGCCCCATTACCTAGCGTCTATACTAACTTCTCATAGATCCACACACAAGGCCAAGTCTCCCTGTCCCTCGTCTTCGATCGCTGGTCCATCGTCCCCGGCGACCCTCTCGACAAAGACATCACAACCCGACCGCTCGAACCCGCAACCGCACAACAACTCGCACGCGACTTCGTGCTAAAGACAAGGAGAAGAAAGGGTCTCGCGGAGGATGTCACCATTAGCAAGTTCCTGGAACCAGAGCTATTCCGTTCTCTCAAGGAGAGCGGCGTGCTTGACGGTTAGGATGGTTGTATAGCATACTTTGGAGTCAAATGGGAACGGCGCAAATTGGAAGCTACAAAAGCATACAGGGAACTCATGTTGGAGATGCGCCCATGAAGGTGGCTGGAGAGTCGAAATGAAATATACCCGTCGCAAGTCGCTACATCATGACCTGCCTCTCCTCTCACATGCAAACGTTAGTGCATCACGTGATCTTCTGGAGAGCTAATACGGCTATATAAACGTCTTTGCTTATCCTCCCTCTTTCTTCCTACAATACTTTCTCTAAACTCAAAATACCCTGAGTGCAGCCCTATGTGTGCCTGTCTTCTGTTTCACCAAAACCCACCGTCACAAAGGTAATGTGGACTTCCTGTCCAGTCTTTTCCCCACCAAAATCGTCAACTATTATGCCCATGTGGGCTTTCAACCCGATCTTTCCTCAAAATCAAACCCATCGGTACATCGTTGCACGTCTCTGTCTGGATCTTGTTTCCCATCAAAATCGTCAATTATCTGGCTCATGTGGGCTCCCAGACCGGTCTTTTCCAGCAAGATCAAAGCATGAAGGACACATGATCTGGTGCTTTGCATCTATTGTTTCTCGTCAAAATATAAATATTCACAGCGCATGTCTGGATTCAGCTCTACACTCCGTCAAACGTGCAAGCAACGCTCGTTATGTTTGGGCTCTTACCAGTCCCTTGAAACCAGAACACGATCCAGAGACTGCTTCTCCGATGACGAAACTTCACTTGATTTGTGCGACGCTGGCCTACCAAAAATCGACTCTGATACTTTTCATGTCCTCTCCGGTCCACTAAAAAAGATAATGAAGCTTACTATGTTCTCTCCGGTCTACTGAAACTACAACACTGCTGGCAATGTCCTTCTCGGTCTTTGAGAGCTTTACGATTGTCAAAAACAAATGACCAGGTAACGCATACAAGCGACTCAGAAGTCGAAATCTCAGACTTCATGCTGCAGCTGGGAGGACTTTACAACATCATCACTTTTCAGTTTCTTTTCGAAAATTAACTTGAATGCCTCCTCGCCCCATGGTCTTGCGTCGCAGAGAACATGATAAATCACCGTCTGCTTCTTCTCTGGTTCCAAAACGCAGAATTTTCCATTTTTCGGAGGTACTCACGATGTTGCGCTCGTGTCTCAACAAGTCTCGAACAAACTGAGGTCTTCATCACCACCATTCCCCGTGCACGTGAACCTCGTTAGCTTATTCCACCACACATTACAAAGCAGCCGCGTAAAACTCCAACTGAAGATCAAACATGCCATTTGCTTGGACCCATGCGCAAAATCAGTCTGTGCGACAACGTAAGTTTCGATACTGGCGCATACTCGCACTTCATTGAAGGGAAAAAACAAGGACCCTGGGGCCTACATTGATGTTGGGCTACCTACTTTGCATGTTTTTATCTCAATGTAGGCTGCAGACCTCTTCAGCCTTTTCCTTGGGGCACTTTGATGCCTGCGCCACCAATGGGAACACGGTCGCTCATTGTCCGGCCTGTGGCGACCTTGATCAGTGCCCAGTCGAGCGCGAATTTCAGGGTGCGACCAGCAATCTGGTCGGCCAGGCTCGGGGGGAATGTACCGTCCTTCCTCTTGAAGGCATCGTCCAGCACGTTATCCACAGTGGAGAGTGTTTGTACTTCAGCGGGGGTGTAGTCGTCGTTCTCACGCGCACGATAGCCCGACGATGCGATCACCGTACTCAGAAGCCGATTCGGGTCGGCGTCTAGGACTTGGGAGTCTCTGTTAGTCGCCGCAACCCTGCTTTGCGCCCGAGCGTTTCCAGGGTGGTATGGATTATCGAGACCTGCGAGAACTTGGTCATGGTCGACTTTCTCCATCTTTTTCCATCTGAGGAACCTCATGTGGTCTGGGTTGGACGGGGCTTTAATCTTGACTAGACCTGACTGCGAGATGTCACGGTTCACACCTAGGTACTCCCCGACAGATATAGCGCTGTTGATGACACTCTTTGGATCGTGTGTCGCAACGACGTGGTGATTGATCAGGGCGCAATTTGTCTCATTGCCCGCCGCATCCTTGAGTACGATGACAGTGCCCACTGTTCCGCTGTTGTCCGGCTGCTCTACGCCAATACTGGCTCCCATCTCTACGATGGCGCCGTAGCATTGTAGAATATATGGCAGGGCGTACATACGGTTCCTCTACTGCTTCCTCGTCTCTCGATGTCTGCATGGCCAAGTGTGGTGCGTAAAGAAGATCGACCTCCATTATCTGGGGGAGTAGTTGACGTATATGAGGTAGGATTTTGTCCCACCATATGGCTGAGTCGGCATCTTGTGCGGTGATGAGGAGAGTAGGGGCGCGTATGGGATGCAATTCTCCGATTTCACGGAGGACGATGTCGGCGGTGAGCCACTGTTGTTCCTGGATATCTTCAAGGAGAGCTGGCCGATAGCACTCCCATGCTGCGACAAGCTCTGGCGCGCAATCTGTGAGCGGCGCTGAGGGTACTCCGTCTGCTGTTCTGATGTCTGTAATCTCAACCGTAATGTCCTCGCGATTGGCCTTGTCGAAGAGTAATCTGAGATCACTCACCGCGACCTTCCAGGCCGAGTATTGTCCATCCACAGAGACGCCCGAGGTGACTAGCAGCGTGAGAGGCGTCAGGGATGGGGTCTGGTCGGGTCGGACGTGCTTTACGAGGCCGTAGCCGAGAATTCGGACTTGGGCGTCATGAAGAATGCGGGCTACGCTTTGTCGAGATACGCCGTCGCTCCACTCTGCTATTCATTGGGCTCCTACATTATCGAAGGAAGGTACGGTTAACGCGCCGACACGGTAGGTCCATCTAATGTCCATCTTTGGTGTCTCGCGTACGACAAGTGGAGGTGGAGTTCGGCAGTCGGTTTGGCTTTGAGCTTGTGAATTCTTGGTTTTAGGTAGCGTGAAACAATGAAGATCCAGCGATCTCGTTCTTGGTGGGTGCTTAGGGCGAAAGGAAAGATTTGTCGAGGAAGGCCTTTTGTACTTGGACATTGTGTGCTGTAGTGGGGCAGACGCTTGTAGAACCGTGGTATAGCTGCAGGATGAACGTTGGAAACTTGCGAAGGCCACGCTGACGTACGGGCGGATCAAGCCAGAGATGACCATTGAGTTGTATTGCGTGGTTCACGCGGCAAGGGCGTCCCATGGATTGGATGAGGGAAAGTCGAACGTTGGAGTGGTGCGTCATATCTCAAAGCGGTAGCGATGACTCGAACCAAGTTCATGCGCGGCTTCCGTTAAGAGTGTTTGTAATGAGGTATGTGTAGGTGGTCTGTCTGAAGTAGCCATGACGGCGTACCCGGCAGCGTAGTGTTCTACATTTCCCGGCTAATTAGCACCATGTCTGACTGAATTCGTCAGAGCAAATAATGAGCGGTTCCGCTTATCGAAAAGATGATATGAGAAGGTGGTTGGTGGTGATGCCTGAGTGGTAACGACCCTTAGTGGGCGAAAGGCTGGGCTGCTATGGCGCCGTGATTGTCAGTATACCGTTGCGCCATACATGAAAGAGAGCAGGAAATAAAGAAGGCGCAACCAGCGCTTCAAGGGTATGCGACGTCCTGAGGGCAGTGGGTGATGTTGCTGGACGCGACGCCAAGCCCCCAGATATCCGCCAAGCGATTTATCCTTGCAGACCGCGGGACCTCGGCAACCCCGTGCGCGTAGCCTCGTTGGACCGTCACGATCACCCCTACGACGAGCGATGATTATACACGCTCCTAGTACTCTGCGTCCTAGAGGGCAAGTCCCATGGACCTCTGAGTATAGAGCGCCTAGTGCGATTATACCGCGATGCTCTAACGTGGCAAACTTAGCTATTACAGCTGCAAATATCGAGAGAAGTATCGGAATAGAAGAGCAGTAGGCGGGAGGTATAATCTCTAAGCATCTGTAGGGTTTTCGAGCTGTAGGTGTTCATTGTCATCACGCACCGTAACCGCACACTCCAAGTTCCAGAATGGGGGAAGGGGAGGGACGGGATTCAACATAGCGGAGCCCGGACAATGCGCAAGCGCCTATATGGACGACAGAACTGGCAAAGATCGGGATGAGATCTGGGTATCGAAACAAGTCTGGCGGGACCTGACTGATCGGAACATCCGTGATGATGCTGCGCTCATGTCGATCCCTCCCACCGTACACGAGCGCGTAGCGTTGGAAGAGCAAGAGCAGATTGCGGAAGAAGAGGCTGTCACTGCTAAGTCGAACATCACAAAGACTGGACTTGCGGCTGACTCGTGTCCCCGTACTATGCTGGGGACTTTACTTTGTTGGTGCGCTGCATTACGGTAAGTTTGACGTCGCTGGTCCTTCAAGATGGCGTGGGGCTTATCGACCTCTCAGACAAGTCCCCTTTATTGATTCAAACATAAGCAGGTTCTAACATTGCCAGGACTTGGAGATAACGACCACATGTGTACCAAGGCTACGAAACTCAGTTTACTTACTTCTCTATACCTAACCGTAAGAGAGGTTTCGCGAGCCATGAGTGGCTGTGACCTCGAACCACTCCTGCGAAATACCGCACAAATGGCGCCCAATGGATAGGGTAGCATTTGCTTCATCGTATATCGCTCAATTTCCTCCCAGAAGTAGCTCGCATCATGAAGACGCTTCGATTTTAAAAGTACCCGCGGAGGCTAAAAGGTAGCAGCCGATGAAAGACTCGAACTCTTGTAACCGCTTTGAGGTATACCAAGTTTTTCACAAAGAACTTATCGGTCATAAAACATGGCTTTGGAAACTACATGAGATTTTTGGACTAGACCCTAAAAAGCTGCCTGCCCCTGAAGTCATACACGAGCTATCAAAAGTATCTGGATGTAGCCCGCTTGAATCATTGTAGACGCCTGGACAAGCTGCGCACAAAGGTTCCTTGGTTCCACTGAGCTACCGTTCATCCATTCCCACTCATCTAAGCCATAGCTGTGCCGCGAGGAAGTTTTCGTGTTTCCTGAGGTCGCCACAACCATCTCAATCTCCGTCCATGAGCTTGGAAACCTTCAGATACCTGCAGAGGTAGGGGTACGAAGTCAGTGTATGTCTCAAATGCAGTTCGTACAGCCAGAACTTACCTCGGGTCTTGGTATGTCCAACTATCTGAGCTGAAGCTGGAGCTCCAGTCATGTTGACGAGTAGGTTGAACGCGAACTCTCCCTCGCTATGGACGCCGAGGCCTGTCTTATCGTGTGGCTACGAGTTGCATCCCCGCGTGGACAATTTCGAGCGTGCGTAGTAAGATTCTCCAACGCCCGTTGACAAGGAGGGATTCAAACTTGACGTTTCCAGTTTCCTCTTGTGTAACGAACCTTGTCCAGTTTCCCTGCTCTGAACGCTTGATCTTGCAAAGTGCTTCGGTGTCGCTGTGTAGTACCAGCATGCCATTATCTGTCTCGGTGTTGAGTGGCACAAGCTGGCCGATCACCTCTCCGATCAGGATACCTTCAGGCAATGTCGCGGCCGCCTCCACGTTACGTCCCCGGTCATAGTCTCGCTTGATTCGATATGCGTTTGGAGGAAAGCGTAGGCATTGGCATGGAGCCTGAACGCTGCATGTCTGACACTTAGCTCCTGGCTCGGCAGTCGTGGGGTCGGTATCCCACTCGCCATCGTCAGAGCAGTGGTGGTCAGGGCCAGAGTTGGCGTTGAAGTGCTGCCGGATGTGGCCTAGCCAACCCAATCCTGGATCTCTGTCGTCATAATCGTCCAGGTCCTTTCCGAGGCCCCTGTTCCATACAAATTGCTGGTAAGCTTCCTCGCTGCAATGCTCAAACTCAAACTCAAACTCTTCCGACTTGTTGTAGAGATCGTACATACGAACACCTACACGTAGGAGTGCTGATGCTATGACAGACGATTGGTTCATCACGGCGGAAAACTCAGATACATCCTTGTATGTAATCTTCTTGCACTTGTCAGACGACACGTAGTATGGCGCCTCAATTGCGAATGGAATGAGAGCCAAGATACCGACATTGGGCGAGCCACCTGGACAATTTTCACAGATGCCGAGCCATTTCGCTCGCCGCGAGTAGACATTATTGAAGGCCTTGAGCGCTTTCTTGGTGGGTTCAATACCTAAGCGTTGGAGTACTTTGTGGATGAACATCTTGTCCTTATTCTTGTGTAGGCGCACGCTGTGCGCGAACTGGTACTCGGCTACCCGCAGGCGGAACAGATCATGATCGCGCTCGTTCTCAATGTCCATGACCTGTCGATGAAAACAGGCCACTTCAGCAACTGCGTCGTTCTGTTGCAGAGACATCGATGCAGGTTTCTGCGAGCGCCACGTTCGGACTAGTGCTTTGATTTGATGGAGAGTGCCCTTGCTTAGTACAGAGGCGGCGACGCGTACGCCTTTCGTGTATGCGCCGGCATCGAGATTTACGTTTTCGCATAGACTGAGTTTGCGCATGCGCGCCAGTAAATGCAACGTTTGATCTTCTGTTGGAGCTTTGCGTGACCTTACATTGCGTTGCTGCGGTTCCTCACTGGGGTTCCTCTTCACGCCCTGTTGTCCTCGAAAACTGCTGAACTGAAGAGGGTTCTCACCACAGACGCCTTCGACACAGAACTCGTAGGAAAGTGGTGGCATATCTGCGCTCGACAAAGCAAAGTTGACGGCCTCAGCCACGTTGTCTCCCAGGCTGATAACTTGATGCAATGCCCTGGGTGTTGTGAATACTGCCTCACCACGTCGGCACAATCGAATGTGGTACGGGATCCCCCATTCCCGCAGTGAGGACGGTGGTATGAATATGTTGAGATGCCGGATAGTCTGAGAGCAGCTCCAATGTGTCAGATCCGTCGCGTACACTTGTCGGAGCCGAGCTGTGAGCGTGTCTATGAAAGCAGGCTCGATACTCAGCCATACCTTGGGCTGGCCAGCGAGAAGGACATTGACAGACGACCACTCGCAATCCTCTATGTGCATAGCTGTGGCTGTGCGTTGCCCGTCTGCCATGCTCACATAGGCGTAGCTCTCGTTGACGCCAGCCACGGTCTCTGTTAACGCCTCTTTCAGTCTTTTCCCGGCGTCTAGCAGAGGGTTGAAAGACGCACCAAGCATGCTGGTAGGGCCTCTCAAGTACAGTCGCGCCTGATCGGTGCTGCCTGGCTCAACCGGATATTCGAACATATCTTCCAGCTCTTTGGACGAATATTCGTGGTCTTGGTCATCTTCCATGTTCTGAAGCTGGTCTCGCAACTCCTCCGGATGTGGCAGTTCATCGTCGCTGACAGCCCTAACGATCACCATCTCATGCTTGTCTTTGCCGAATTCTATCGAACTCCAGTGAACGGATTCTTGGTCTCCAAAGGCATCTGGCGCCGGATGAAACTTTCGTAGATCTGGCACTTTCACCACACCCATACCCATCTTACGAACAGCCGGGTCGCGAGAGAGTATTTCGAGGGTCGCTGTAGTGTTACTGCGAAAGTCGAAGACATTACGCACAAAGACCCCATCTTCTTGTCCTGATTCGTCTGTGTGTCCACTTCCTGCCTCCGTCACAGGATCAGACAATCCACTGGCTCCATCTTGATGACCACGCCTAAGTCTTTCTGATGCCCGCACCGTCGGTATGGCCGCAGCATCTGCGGAAGCGGAGGATATGAGGGAAGTAGGTGCGAGGGTTGAACTTTTGCTAAGTTGCTCCGGGTTCACAAAAGTTGAACTCTGCACCGATGGTATGCCCAAGGTACTTGCGGGTCTTGGTGAGATTGATGACGCAGTGCCGGGGCCTGGGACCAGATCTGGGTTCGTTGGTAATGAAGCATGCGAAATCGAACTACCCGAGGAACGTGTGGGACTTTGTGGTGTGGGTGCGGCACCTGCGTTCTGAGCCGCAGCCATTCTCTCAAGTACCCGCATCATGCTCTTTAGACCGTCCATAGTCTCCGTTATCCATGTCAACTTCTCTCTCGTTGTTGGAGTTTCCGCAGTGGCTTCTCTCGGCCTGTCGTCCAGCGGTTGAGTCGGCTTCGTATGTGCGATCAAATAGTTGAACTCGTTGCATACACCCACTACCTTCTCTCTGAACGCTCCCAATTCTTGCCATGTAGGCAGTGCATCTTCGGTTGCTTCCATCATTGAAGAAGGGTTGTGTCGCGGTAAACTGACGGGTGTTCACCCATGGGTGAACTGATCTTGGTTTTTGGTGAGACTTTTGATGTTTTGGTTTGTTGTGTTGATGGAGGAGTGTAGAGTGGAAAGCCAAAATCTCGCTCTCACCTTCACCTCATATAAGTGGATACCTAGATATTCCCCACGTGCTGAGCCCTCTCACCAGTAGCGCGGGCGGTGAGCTATCGCAAAGCTTGATTTCAATCCTGCTCAAAATGTGCTCTCCCGTGTTGCGTATACATACCATTAAATTTTGATAAGTACACGATTCCTAAGCCAATGTATCCTCCTGTCTTGGAATGTTCTTCAAATAACGCAACACAAGTTGTGCCACCTCTAGTAGCATTCAAGGTGACTTCTGGTAGAACATTGAGGTACTCATTTGAGGAAGAGGAAAAGACTTTTGAAGATATTTCATATGCGCCGGTTTGAGCTAGTCCGCTGACAGAGTCCAGCCACTGCTAAATGACCCATATCATGGCCATTGTCGCAAAGATCCTTTTGCGTGTATCATGTTGCCATCTCCAATTCCATGAGGCTAATCGCTGAGTGTTATGAAAAAGTACTCCGTGCTCGCAGGTTGAACATGAAACATCTGCACCGCGATTCTCAGAACAGATCATGGACGGGTGCAACTGCCCTTTTTAGAAAGTATGCAGGGGAAGATGTAGAATAGAAGAGAAGAGGAGTGAAGTAAAGATTGGCCCTATATATACGGCAGAGGCGCACCTTCAGCGCATGACTCGAACGTATAGGTTTTGGAATACCATGTGCTCTGCTGCATGTCTTTGACGTTTCCAAAAGCGACGTATCAGGCATGAAACATCATGCTCGGATTTTGGAGAAGCGAACCCGTCATGTCTACATCAACTGCGAATTTTGACAAAGGCGAATCTTTTGTGGTTCTATTTGATACGAACGGGATGCGGCGAGCATCTTGGACAACAAGCTCAAAGATCCAGAGGCGGTCATGTTGTATGCGTTGGAGCTTTTCGAGTACAGCTCACCAACATGAAATCGTGAGTGTCTCTTTTGTGGTAGTTCACAGCAGGCAGACAGCGAAAAGACATAACTGCTGTCTTCAGTCGTTTCGAAACGAGTCATTTCTTTGTCCTCATTTTCGTTTTGGTGTAAAAGGTATGGTAATGAAATAATGAAGGCGGGTGTGCCAGACGTGATATTTATACCCATCTGCACTAGCGGAGAGCAACGCCATGGTGATGTATTGAGCCCATCTTCCATTCTCAGCGATGCACAGCGGAAGTCGACGCAACTGCCCGGTCATGAATTCTCGTACATTTCCTTTTTGGTTCACATGGATATCATGAGGAGTAGAACCATGGCCATATCGAGATTGACTGTACTTTTCGAGAATGTGGGATCGCATATGCTGCGGCCTTCGTCGTTTTGGTGGAATGAAGAGTTCGGAAGGGCGAGATTGTATTCAGTGTAACCTGATGGATCGAACGCATCATGAGATTTTCTTGACGACGTTTTAGCACATACAGGTGCGTCGCAGTTGGGTTTCGAAAAGTTCCTGGCGAAGGGGAAGACCGAGGAACGGACATCACTTCTTCCAAGCGCGTTTTGGGAAAGGCCATGCATACTTGCCCGACTTCTTTTTGGTAAAACAGAAGGTTTTTCGTGTTCTTGCAGGAACAATAGAGAGGAGAGGCGACAGGGACTTAAATATCGTGAGCTGGGGCCACGACAGTGGACATGGCAAGGTTGATGTCGTTTTTGAATCGATCGAGGGGTCCGAAATCCACAGGTGATGGCCACATCGAATGGCGTTTTTGGAGATGTATGCACATAGACACTCTTCGGTTGTGTTTTGAACAGCGGAAGAAGGACGTGGACATGTATAGAAACGGAAAAGTTTTCGAGTCCAGGCCCTAACTCTGTTAGAATGTTGTTTTGGAAAATGCAAAGGCAGTATATGGGGAATGAGGCCCATGGGCAAGAAAACAGTGTTTATATAGACGTTGTGCCAAGAGAAGTGCGTTTGCGTGCTCGTAGGAAGGCGTGATGAATGCAATAGGACGGTGGTCCATACCATGAGCGGGGCATCTGGGTCTGTATATTGTACTTGTAATTTGAGTAGACTGCTGAAGTAGCGTAGTCAGTATGTAGCGAGCAAATGTTCACTATTGAGAAGCAGTCGAAAGAACCACACGCGATGAAAGCGGCGTAGAAATAGTATTGGGTATCACAATACGCGACGATACGTGGCAGAAGCCGCGAAAAGCACAGAGCGCAAAAAGAGTGTGGCCGAAACCAAAGAAACGACGCTCGCGACCAACCTGGTAAAGACCCAAGATGACTCGCTCCATCACTTATACTGATACTCGTTCTCGTCATCGCTATCGTCCTGTCTTTCAAGCACATCTTCAATCTCCTCATTCAGCAGAAGACCCATATCATACGTCTTCTCCCTGATCTCATCCGCCTCTTCCCTGCCCACTGAACAATCGTCCATAATGAGCAGAATCGCCGCCTCAGGCACCATGACGGCTTGCACAAAGGCCGCGATACCGGATGCTTGCACAACGCGATCCTTGCAGTTCTTCATCTCGACCTTCAGGGTATCCATTACGCTCTCCGTGATGACGCGACGGCCGTGAGGGCCATAGTAACCCGGGTAAGCGGCCTTCTCGTCAAGCGCGTACGACTCCAGTTCCTCTTGCACGTCTTCTGCGAGATCCGTTCGTCTAGAAGGTACGGCCGCCGCTTTTCCAGTCAATGCCAGTGGTTCGTAGCGATCTCTGTGTATACTGGACCGGTCGTTGTTGAGTATTTGTAACAAAGTCGCCTTGCTCCTGCGTATTCGTCTGGGAAGCGCTTTCCAGTCAATATCCGGGTACCCTTTCTGTGTGTATTCCTTCTGTGCCGACTTCTTCTTGTGCGCATGGCAGAACGCAGACTTGTTCTTCACAGTTTTATCCTTGCCTTTCCAGAAGTTCCAGTATTCGTCCTGCTCGACTGGCTCCGAACATAATGTGCATCGTGAGCCTTCTTCCTCTACGTCGGGAAGCTTCCCGATGTAGCTGCTAATGTCGTCGAGGGCTTCTTGTGGTGCGCTGGAATCTGGCTGTGATGATGGCGGTTCCTGGTTTTCTTTCCAGGTGTTGAGTTGACCAAGGAGTTGGGCGGTTCTGGCTGCCTTTTCTGCTTTCTTCAGTGACTTGGGGCTCATTGGAGTGATTCCTAGTTCCTTGTCCAGCTCTTCGCCTTCGAGTATCTTAGGTGTAGCATCGCCGCCTTCGGCTTTTGTGTCTTTCACCTTCTTCTTCGGTCTACGCAGTCCTTCGATATTGTTTTGTGGTCTGTCGCAGTCTTTTGGCAGCGCAAAGAGCTCTTCGTCGTCTAGACTAATGGAACTGGCATCGCTATCGTCACCAGCCTGTGGCAGGCCAACCCGCGATTTGTTCTTCACTCCATAGGTCTGCCCCGTAGTCTTTGACGCTGCTTTCCCAAACTTCTTCGCAGGTGGTGCTGCGTGTATATTCTTGGTCTTCGAACCATAGCCCTTGCTGCTCTTGTTGGTCTTCTGGGAAGTATGTTCCATACCCCAACTAATCGGGCCATCGTTGGCTGACCCTGCAGACGACGCAGGTGTGTTTTCCTTCGAATCGTCGAATATCGTCGTGGCTTTATGCGCTTGACCACTCTGATACGTCCCACTCGTAGGCGCACGTATTATCCCAATCTTCTTTCTCGCAGCCTTCTTCTGAGGTCTTCTCAGAGTTGTATCTTCGGTATTCTTCGACGTAGGTATAGTGGGTTTCGCGGGTTGGACCGGTTGAGGTGGGGGAGGATGCGATTCATCGTCGGAGGACACGGGCTCGGCATTGACATCGATTTCTTCCTGCTGATTTGTAGACGAAGTGTTGTCATTCGCCTGCCTCTTGGACGCGGGTTCTTCATGGTCGTCCTCGCCGGCATGCCGCTTTCCACCAATGTTTCTTAACAATTTCGGCGCCTGCTTCGTCAGGTACACCATTGCCGCGCATGAATGGATGAAACCGAACGAAAGAAAAAGATACGATGCGTCCACGAGGTAATGCGATGTCGGCGCACGTGAAAGTGTAGTCTTCCCGAGACGGACTCGAGATCATGCAGCAACGCGCCTTCCGGCGTTCCACCCCAGAACGCGAACACCGCGTTCGCGCTAGTCCGTCTTATCGATAACACCCGAGCTCCGCCAAAAAAAGTTACCAGAACTTGCCAACTTCGGTCGCAAACCTTCCTAAACGATACCAAAACCCCCCGGCATATCCTCACGATGGCTCTCGACGAAGCGCTGCAGCAGCCTTTGAACTTCACTGGTCATCGGCATATGATCTCGCGCCTCCTCCTGGCAACGCTCACCGGCCGACCCGTTCGCATCTCGCAAATTCGCTCTTCCTCAACCACACCCGGCTTAACACGCCATGAGACAAACTTCATCCGGCTGCTCGATTCGGTGACGAACGGTTCGCAGGTTCAATTCAGCATGACGGGTACGACATTAGTCTACAGACCCGGTCTCATCACCGGAAGCGCCGAGGGTCTCGGAGCCAGCGGCGGAGTAATCAGACACGAAATACCAGCCGAGTGCAGAAAGAGGGGAGTAAGCTGGTGGTTGATCCCACTCTGCGTTCTCGCGCCCTTCAGCAAAGGAAACATGAATGTCGTCTTCTACGGCGAAGGCTGCGTAACAGCCTCTACAATCGCCGGCGACGTCTCCGCCGACACCGTCCGCACCGCAATCCTCCCACTGTACAAAAACTTCGCTATCGAGCGAAACATCGAACTGCGCATCCTCAAGCGCTCTTCCGCCCCCGCAGGCGGCAAGGGCGCAGGCGGTGAGGTACAACTCGTCTTCAACCACCAAGTCCGCCTCCCCAAGACACTGCACCTGCTGAATCCAGGCCGAGTCAAGAAGATAAGAGGTGTAGCCTACTGCGTCGAAGTTCCCAAAAGCAACAACGAGCGCATGACCTTCACCGCGCGAGGCATCCTCAACAAATTCGTCCCAGACACGTACATCTTCTCCGATGCCAGCGCCGCCCCCTTAATACCTACAAACGCCAAAGGCCACTCCAGCGGAAAAGTGAAGGGTGCCGTAGGTTTCGGAATCAGTCTCGTTGCGGAAACCAGCACGGGGTGCATATACTCTGCAGACGTATGCTCACCACCCGATGGTGGCGTGCCCGCAGACGAAATCGGCAAGCAATGCGCATACCAGCTTCTCGAGAAGATATCGCAGGGAGGATGTGTGGAGAACGTTGCGGCGCCTACGGTACTCATGCTCATGGCTATGGGTAGTGAGGATGTAGGCAGAGTGGCGCTGGGCAAGGATATACTGGGCAGCGAGGAGATTATACAACTCGCGCGGGACTCCAAGGTCTTCGGCGGCAGCGCATGGGGCTTCAGGGAGGCAGGCGGCGAGAGGGATGAAATTGTCGTTAGCGTCGTAGGAAGGGGAGTAGGCAATGTGGGAAGGAAGGTTGCTTAGATTTCTTCAGTTTGGGAAAAAGTTATGCTCGCAAATATGATACCCCCAATTTCTCATTATCTATCTTGGTCTGATGACACCACATGTTGTAGTGCGTATTCTTCGTGTGGGCGTCACTGAGACGGCAGGTAAATACGTGTCTAAGCAAAGAAGAGACGCCGCCCAATGATCTGATTCGCATAAAACCACTGTACAAAAAAAGTTGATGCTAAAGCTGGAGACGTTCCTACTGCCTCTTGCCCGCCGAGCTCGCTCCACTACCACTGTCCTCATCGCTCTCCTCATCCTGATCCTGAGCATACTTCTCGTTAAACCTGTCCTGATCCCGATACGGGCCCTCACTGCCCTCGTCATCGCTCAGCAGGTCCTCATCAGACTCGCCAGCAAAAGCATCATACAGCTCTCCACCCCTCTTCGCGCGCTTCTTTCTGCCTGCAGCACCAGAAAGCAAGCCCGCGTCATCTCCAGCTTCGTTGTCGTCCAGAACCTCGAACTCGTACGCATCGCGCGAGTCCTTCATGCGCTTGCGCCTAGCAATGAAGAAATAGATGCCGAGACCAGCCATGAAAACGATAATCAGGGCGAGAGCGCCGTATATCCAGATTTGGGTGCGCTTCGACACGCCAAAGGTGGGGAAGGGGTTAGGTAGGAAGTTTTCAGATGGATCAGCAGACGCCGTGGCACTGGCACTCGCAGTCGCCGAAGTCGTCGTCTGCACACCACTGTTAGCTGGTGTCTGAGAGGGCTTCTGGTTCACGGGACGGTCGGGGTGGTCATCGGGAATGGATGTCATGGTAGGTGAGGTACCACTGGGTATGGTAATACTAGTGGTATGCGCCGGATGGTCATCAATCTTGTCGTGATCGTCGTCGTCGTGCTCGTCGGGGATGGGGCGGAGTTTGGCTTTGGAGGCGTCGATGCATTCACCCCAGAGGCGGAGCTTCCAGTCGGTAAAGGTGCCCGTCTTCATGTTGCCTGATTTGACGTCTTTGACTATGACGGTCCAGTTGCCAATGGCGTTCTCACCCCAGTGGGCGACGGACATGAAAGTCCAGTCAATGTAGCCGTATGGCGCTTCGTCATCGCGGCGTGCGGTAGACAGGTGCGAAACCATGCCGTTTGGAGATCGGAGTTCGACACTGAGATCGCCACGGCGCTCGTGCTCTACGTTCATGGTGAGCGTGATATGCTCAACACGGGCAAAGTTGGCCTTCTTGAGCATGTCTTCTTTGACTTCGAAAACACTGGCGAGACCCTGGTTGCCTTCAGGGATCGCCTTCTTTACGTGCATCCAGGGCGAGTAGAACCATGCTTGGGGCTTGACGAGCTCCCACTCCTTCGCCTTCTCCACGATGGCGTAAGCATCGAGCTTTCCGTATCCGAATTGATGGCTGAACATGCGATCGATTGAGGTCTTGGTCCAGTCGCTGGGTGTATCGAAGGGAACAGCGGTCATGACGGCGAGCCATTGCATGTCGCGCCATGTCAACTCGGGACGGGCCTGGAGCGCAAGAGCGAATACTCCTACACCAATGGGTCCTGCAGCCGATGTGCCTCCGTGCTGGCTGGTGCACTTGTTTGCGCCAACGTCTGTTGTGTGGATGGCATCGCCGCCGCCACTGCTGTATGTTACAACCAGCTGTGCGGAGCAGGCTTCGGAGTAGTAGGGGTGACCGTTGTTCTGGTCGATGGCGCCGACGGTGATACTGTAGATGCTGTTGGTGTAACCGTCGAAGTTGCAGTTGTCGTCGCTCGCAGCACCATTGCCTGCCGCGAAAACATAGATGGAGCCCTTTCCGCCGCGGCCCTTCTGAACAGCTGTGACCATGGCCTTCTCGATGAGGATGCCTGGGGCTTGCATGGTCTTACCATCGTCGGGTGGGCCCCACGAGCACGAGTAGATGTCGTTCTGCTGCATCTCGAAGTTTATCGCGAGTGCCTCGTCGAGATCTGTAATGTCGCCCGACAGGATGCGCACACCCGAGATCTTCGCGTCGTAGGCAAGTCCGACACCGCAGGCGTCGTTCCTTCCGGCGGCGATTTCTCCCGCGCATCGTGTGCCGTGGCGGTCGTCGGAGAGCTTCGGGGTCGGTAGGTCTTCGTGGTCGTTGTAGTCGTGGGAGCCGGCAGCGAAGAAGTTGTCCTTGAGGTCGTTGCTGGTGTAGTCCAGGCCATCGTCGACAACGCATGCGGTAACGCCTTCGCCGGTGATGTTCTGCAGCCACACACCGGTGACGTTTATGTCGTTCCCAGGCGTCTTCACATTGAAGATGTGCCATTGCTCTTCGAAGATGGGGTCCTTGATTTGCAGCTGGCTCGCTACTTCCCGCTGAGCTTTGATGGCATCCGTAACAGGGGGCCCCCGTTCTGGCAGTTCTGGGATGACGCTGCGCTTCCAGTGCCGCGCCTTGATCTTTTGCTTTTGGGTGAAGTGGACGCTGTCGAGAGGGTGGTACTCGGGGCCGACTTCCCGTTTCCGCCGCCGCCTCTTGAGTTCTTGTTGTGCGTCGTCTACAATGTCGTTCTCGTGCTTGGGGGCCTTGAAGACATGGTGGTCCTCGAGTGTGCCAAAGGGGCCCTCGTACGTCAGGCCGAGGTGCGCGGCGAGGTCTGAGGGCGATGCGGAGGGGGAGATGTGGACGGCATAGTAGTCGTGGCTCGAGTAGTTGCGGGGTGGCAGGTGCCTTCCCGCAGTAGCCAGTGTGGCTGCCGTCAGCAGGCTCCAAAAGTGAATGCGCATGGCGGAGGCGCCGAGAGGGTATTAAGTGCAGCCGGCTGCGGTCATGTATCGTGGAGGGTTGTAGGGCGTGACGTGGCAGCGCGTGCTGAGGAAGTATGCGTAGGTGGGTGGTGAGGATACCGTGGGCAGCGAGTCGAGAGGGTCGTCGGTATTGAGCTTATTGAGGAGACTGATTACGACGACAGGGTATTAGATGGACCGAAAAGCCTATGCGCGCGCCGAGTGCAGTGCGGCGGGGGAACAATACAGGCGTAGTGTAGTAGTGTGAAAGAGGAGGAAGAAGCACCTGGGGCGTCACGTCGAGGAAGTCGGCGACTGAAACGTTGATGTTTGACACTTCTCTGGCTTCTTCGCATGCAAGGTGCCTGTATTGAGACCCCCGGGACGCCTTCCCCTTGCGGCGCTAGTGGCCGCCGCCCTTGCCTTGCCGGTCGCCGTGTGGAGGATGCCTGTCTGTCCAAGATGCTGCCGTCCAGCTCGAGCCCCAGCCTCCTCTACCGCGCCCGCCACCACCATTCTGCGATATGCGCTGGCCATGGATAACTGCCCCGACCCTGCATCCGTACCGCTCTTCCTATGTCCTTGCACTTAGCATCTCTTGATTTTCCCGCGACACATCGTTGTCATTGCGCCGTCCATCATCGCTACCGCATATTGCACCCCAGCACACCTCCGCCGCCTCTCCGCACCCGACATTCTTAGGTAGCTACCACCATCGAGGACTGCAATTGAGACGTGTATCTAAGACCGCATGTGATAGTGT